ATCGATTAATCAAAAATAATAGATTACTCAAAAACAATTGAGTATTCTAAAATAATTCATTAATCGAAAATAATAGATTAACAAAAAATAATCGAATAATCGAAATTATTCAATTAATCAAAAATAATCGAATATTCGAAAATAATCGATTAATCAAAAATAATCGATTGTTATAACAGAACGTGCAAAAAATCGCCAGAATTTAAGAAATATTTTAAATAAATGCGTTTTCAACTACTCGACATTCTTAACAATCTGGCATCGAAATTTTTTCGATGACGAAAGAGCCTATTCCAGAAAAATAAAGGGAAATTCGAGCCGAACGCGTTTCCGGAAAAGTTTTGCTTAAAAGAGGCGATAGAGCAAAAGTCTCATTAATTAATTATTTTCGATTAATCGATTTACTCATGTAATCGATTAATTATTTAAAATAATCAATTATTTGTATTAATCTATCGATTATTTATTATCTATTATTTACGAATAATCGATTATTTTCAATTAATCGACTATTTTCAATTAATCGATTATTTTTTCGTGTAATCGATTAATTATTTCGAATAATCGATGATTTTGATAAATCTAGTATCTCGATTAATCGATTATTTTGAATAATTTAAAATATCTATTATTTTTGTAAATCGATTTTCGCTAAAAAATAACAATTCGATTTTTCATTAATCGATTATTTCAATTATTTTGATTCATCGATTATTTACGATAAATCGATTAATTTGATATAGTATTTCGATTAATCCATTATTTACGATTAGTCGTTTATAATAAATCAATTATTTCCCATTAATTGATTATTTTCGAACCATTGATTAATCAATTATCGATTATTTTCTCGTGTAATCGACTAATTAATTATTTTGATTAATCTAATATATCGATTATTTTTTATTAATCTATTATTTGGATTATTTTCTGTAAATCGATTTTTTTCGGTAAAAAATAAATAATTCGATTATTTCGATTAGATTATTTTCGGTAAGAAATAAATAATTCGATTATTTTCCATTAATCGATTCTTTCGATTATTTTTGATTATTTACGAATAATCGATTATTTCTCATTAATTGATTATTTTGGAACAATTGATTAATCGATTATTTTTATTTTGTTTAATCTAGTATTTCGATTAATCGATTATTTTCCATTGATTATTTTCGAATAATCGATTATTTACGATAAACTGATTATTTTGATTAATCTAGTATTTCTATTATTTACGAATAATCGATTATTTCCTATTAATTATTATTTTCAAACAGTTAATTAATCGATTATTTTTGATTAATCGATTATTTTCTCGTATAATCGAATAATTAATTATTTCGAATAAATGATTATTTTGATAAACCTAGTATTTCCATTAATCGATTAGTTGGATTATTTTCGAATAATCGATTAATTATTTTGAATAATCGATTATTTTGATAAACATAGTATTTCGATTAATCGATTTTGATTAATCTAATACATAGATTATTTACAATTAATCGATTTATTTGGATTATTTTCGAATAATCGATTATTTTGATAAACCTAGTATTTCTATTAATCGATTTTGATTAATCTAATACGTCGATTATTTACAATTAATCGATTTATTTTGATTATTTTTGGTAAATAGATTATTTTTGCTAAAAAAATAACAAATAATAATTCAATTATATATTAATAATCGATTATTTTCATTAATCTAGTATCTCGATTCATCGATTATTTACGATAAATCGATTATTTTGATTAATCCATTATTTACGAATACCCGATTAATCGATTATTTTCGAACAATTGATTAATCGATTATTTTCGATAATTCGATTATTTTCTCGTGTAATCGATTAATTATTTCGAATAATCGATTATTTTGATAAACCTAATATTTCGATAAATCGATTATTTTGGTTAATCTAATATATCGTTTATTTTTGATTAAACGATTATTTTCGGTAAATCGATTATTTCGATTAATATAGTATTTCGACTAATCGATTTTTTTTATTCATCGATTATTTACGATTAATCTAGTATTTCGATTAATCCATTATTTACGAATAATCGATTATTTTCAATTAATCGATTATTTACGATTAATCGATTATTTACGATTTTGATAATTATTTGTTTATATATACTATGACTTAAAAATTTCGCGCAATATTACTGAATCGCCCTGTATACTAAAAAAAAATCCTATATGGTTTGATCTGTTTCTACGCTGTCTAATTAATATATAATTATCTCGAGAAATAAGCGACTTTTGGTCTGAATTTGTTCCACTATATTAACAATTTAAGAAAAATCACATCCTGTATAATTACTAAGTGCAGTTTGGCAATATTTTCATGTGAATATTTATTTTAACAAAGCTAAATAGTTACAGTTGATATATATTTTTCGCGCTTTTTATCATTCGGAAACCTGTTTCTTTTTTTAAATAAAAATAAACACCAAAAAAACGATTAAAAACAACAAAATCGATTCAGACTCAGAAATTTTCGTTTTGCTGTATAGATAATCAATTTCTGATATAATTTATCTATCAGAGTTGAAGATTTATGTTCACCAAGTTACCATAGCTTAATAATAACATGAGTAAGTCAATGGAAAATTAAAGACAAAATGTGTCATCTACAGATCGACCGAGATGAAACTTAAAGACTTTGTAGGACACACCACGGGAAAAATTTGGATACGAGTATTTAATTTTTTTTGTGAATTGACAAATTTTGTTTTAACCCATTGAGTTTGGACTGCGCCAACAGACATACTCGTTGTTGTTGCAAACTGAAGATTTAACCATACAACAGAAGAGAAAACAATACAGAAAATAAACATACTCGTAGGGCTAGTTCCACCATAGAGATACTCTGAGAAAATATAACTATTCACAGTACACCACAGTGCTAGGTATACTGTGAATAGTTACGTTTTCTCAGAGTATTTCTGTGGTGGAACTAGCCCTATGTTTCTTTTCTGTATTGTTTTCTCTTCTGTGACCATACTGTCCACAAGATTCAACTATATTGTCCATTCTTCTGTGACCATACTGTCCACAAGATTCAGCTATACTGTCCACAAGTATTAACCAACCTCTCCACACAGTCTGCATACTACGATACTGATCACGTTTTTTTTTTTTAATTATAGATATATTTTAAGCCAGCTCCAGACTCATATTCCCAGTGGAAGAGAGATATATGTTATTATTAAGCTGCGATAATACCTTTTAGTTCATGAAATTACGATTCCCTTATCAAAATCGATTAGATCAAATAAAATGACCACTAACTAATAAAAAAATCTATTTTTTAAAAATATTTTTTGGAATTGCCACTTTGATAATAATAGCTAATATTATCTAATATTACACATTTATTGAATAAACTGAATAATAATTTAAATAAATTAAAAAAAAACTAAATTACCACACATCGTTTCAATTTTGCACACGAACCGTATCAAGTCAATTTATTTTTATCCTAACAATTGTTCATATCCTAAATTTTTTGGGTCGCGGATAATCGTTCGAAGAGCATTTGATCGAAATCGAATGATCGATAGCGAAAGATCGAATAACGTATGATTGTAATTTCAAAATATCGAATAGACAAATTTAATGTTATCGATTGGAAAACAAAAGATCGAAAATACAGAAGAAATAAAAAAGATCGAAAGCAAATCATTAATATTCAAAAGATCGATATCTAGAAAATCGAAAATAATAAAAAAAAAAACGAAAAATAGGTGATTAATAACAAGAAATCGAAAATATAAATAATAAAAAGAAAAAATCGGAAGAACAAAAGATCAAAAACGAGAAAATTGAAAAAAAAAAAAGATTGAAATAAAAGTTATCGAAAACAAAAGATCGAAATCCAGAAAATCGGAAATACAAAAGATCGATAACTAGAAGATCAAAAATACAAAAGATCGAAAACCAAAAAATCGGATATACAAAAATCAAAAATAGACCATAAATATAAATGATCAGTTATCGAAAATACGAACAGTCGAAATAAAAGTGATTGAACCAAAAATGGAAATCCAGAAAATCCAAAATCCAAAGATCGAAACAATAAGTAAATGATTGAAAACAAGAGATCGAAAATATAAGTAATATAAAAAAAGATTGATCCAGAAAATCGGAAATTCAAAAGATCGATAAAAAAAGGTTGAAATATAAGTTATTTAAAGCAAAAGATAGAATATACAAAAGATAGATATCCAAAAAATCGAAAATACAAAAGATCGATAACTAGAAGATCTAAAACCAGAAAATCCAAAATGCAAAAAATCGAAACATAAGTGATTGAAAACAAAAGATCGAAAATATAAGTAATATCAAGAAAGTATTGAATCCAGAAAATCGGAAGTTCAAAAAATGAAATATAAGTTATCAAAAACAAAAGATCGATAACTAGATGATTAAAAATACGAAAGATCGAAAGTAAAACGGACAGACAAAAGATCGAATATCAGAAAATCGAATATGCAAAAGATCGATAAGCAGAAGTTCAGGAATAAAAAAGACGGAAAATTAAAAAATTTAGAACAATGATCGAATACCGGAAAATCGAAAATACAAAAGATCGATAACCAAAAGATCAGAAATAAAAAAGATGGGAAATACAAGACGAAAACTATAAAAACATAAAATTGAAAATATAAAATCGAAAATAAAAGATCGAAAAAACAAAATTCGATATGTAAATGACCGAAAACGAAAAATCGAAAATACAAAAGATCGATAATAAAAAAGATGGAAAATTCAAAAATCGAAAACAATCGAATATCAGAAAATCGAAAGTATCGTTAATCGTTAATCAGATCAAAAATACCATAATCGAAAATATAAATAAAATACAAAAATACAAATGATCAAAAATACAAAAGATCGATAACCAAGAGATCAAGAATAAAAAAGATGGAAAATTCAAAAATCGAACGCAAATGATCGAATACCAGAAAATAGAAAATACAAAAGTCCGAAAACATAAAATACAAAAACACAGAAGATCGAAAAAATTAAATTCGAAATGTAAGTGACCGCTACCGAAAAATCGAAAATACAAAAGATCGATAACCAGAAGATCAAGAATAAAAAAGACGGAAAATTCCAAAATCCAAAACAAAATATCGAAATACAAAAATCGAACTATAAGTTATTGTAAATACGAAAGAACGAATTTTATGTGATTGACAACAAAAGATCGAATTTTAAAAAATCGAATACCAGAAAGTTGATAATACCAAAGATCGAAACGTTGCAGATCAAAAATACAAAATCTAAAACAAAAGATCGAAATATAGGTGATCGAAAACCAAAAATCAAAAACCAGAAAATCGTAAATACAAGATCAAAAATAAGAAAGATGGAAAACCAGAAAATCAAAAACACAAAAAATGATAATCCCGATGGCTTCAAGCCATACAGGTTAGGTAAAATAGTTTAAGCTATGTTTTACTACATTTAAATCATTTTTTATATTATTCACGTATTTTATCTTGTTATCAAATGAAATTCTTGGTAACATCACAAAAAATTACCAAATCTTAAGTTAGACATCGAAATCTTACCATTATAATTTCATTTTTAAAAAAAGCTTAAACTAATGTACTTAACCTTAATCTATTTTTTGTATCGCTTATCAATCAATCGATATTCGATCAATCGAATCTTTCCAATCGATATTCGATCAATATAAATTCGATCAATCGAGTCTTTACCAATCAATATTCGATCCATCTATGTTCTTTTAATTGTAATTATATCAATATATGTTCGATCAATCGTAATTCTATCAATATATGTTCGATCAATCTACGTTTAATCCACCTATAATCGATTAATCGAGTTTTAATCAATCGATATTTCATCAGTCTGTATTTAATCAATTTATATTCAGTTAATAGACATTTTACAAATCTATGTTTGATCAATCGATATTCGATCAATCTGTATTTAATCAATTTATATTCATTCAATTCTACAAATCTATTTGGTCAATTGATATTCGATCGATATTCCATCAATCGAGATTCGATCAATCGATATTCGATCAATACATCAATAAATCTATATTCGACCTATCGATCAATCGGTATACGATTTTTCGCAATTCGCTTCAAACGTTTTCGATCGAACGCTATTCGAACCAACCCGTTCGATCAAACGAATTTAAAATCGTCCGCGACCCATTTTTTGTTTTTGTTTCACTAACTACAACTCCGAATGGTCGTCGTCCTTGGATTCCGATTTAATCTTCTTATCTTTAATTTCATCTTTTTTATCTTCGGGAGCTTCTATCGTGGCCGGTTCTTCTTCTTTTTCTTCCTCTTCCGCTACGACGTTTTCGCCATCTTTTTCTTCCGTCTTTTCGGTGGTATTACTCTCTTCTTTTACAGGTTTTTCCACTTTTTTAGGTTTCCAAAGCTTCGCTTTGTTTAATAAGTACTTCACTTCTCTATCCAACGCGGCCATTTTGTCCATGATCGATTTAATCGTCAATTTAATCGGTTGATTCTTCTTAATAGCGTCTTGTTCTTTAACGGATTTATCCCGCCATTCTTCGGTGTCCTTGATTAATTTTTCCAACGTTTCTATTTCGACGTCGGTGAAAATGTCTTTTTCCGGATTGGTGGTCTTGGTGACGTTCTTAGCGCTCAATAGGAAGTTCGAGGAATGATTGAGGAGGGAATTGAGCGCTTTGATGGCTTCGGGTCGTTCTTTATGTTCGAAAACTCGCGCCAGCAAATCTTTGGTTAGCAAATTCAAATCGTCTAATTTCTTTTCGTAAGTATCCGCGTCGGCGTCCGATCCTTCATCGTATAACCATTCGGATACTTCTGAGCAAGCTGCTTTAATTTTTGCGATTTCTTCGGGGTTTCCGGCTTTGGAATATTCGTCTTCGTCGAGTTTATTTTGGATTTCTATAACGAAACTTTCTAAATTATTGAGGGCCGTAGCTCTGCGATTGATTTCGTTTTCTAGTTTATCCAAGGCAGAAATTTTTTCTACAGATTTCGCAAATTGTTTTTTATCCAAAGCGTTGACGGTCAAAAGTTGCTCTTTAGTTTTAATCGGTTCTTTGATTGTCACGACTTTCGGTTTCAAATCTTTGGTCGGTTTTTCAGTAACGTTTTTGGCGGTTTCGTTGACTGGTTTTTTAGTTTCTTTAGTGTCTTTTTGTTTTTCGACTTTCTCGGGTTTTTCTTCTGTGGTGGGTTCTTCGGATTGTTTTTCTTCCGGCGATTCTTCTTTGACCGGTTTTTCTTCGACCGGTTTTTCGTCTTCGCCTCCGAAGAGTTTGCTGAAAGTGCTTCCTAAAATATATAATATTTAGCAAGGAGAAATTAAATAAAGACGACAAATAGGCATTATTAGAAGGTGGCGAAATTTCATTAAACACTATATCGATTATTTTCCTAACCGTTTAATATACATACAAAGTTGGTTATATTGAAAAATGTATTTTCTAGACAAATTTATTGGATATCAAGTCCAGTTTCCGAGATATTTAAGCAAATACTATTTATTTTTGCTACAGTTGTGAAATAATTTAGAAAAGCGTTGTTTTATAGGAGTAAAATTGGTTCGATAATATAATATGTTATATGGAGAGGGTTTTTTTTGTTATAATGCATATAGGACACTCAATTTCGCTATTTCCAAGGAACAATAAGGACAAAATGGTGCCCACAGAATGCCTATAAGTTACACATTAAATAATTAGAATTGTTAGAAGGTCCCAATGCTATGCTCGAATTTTAAATAAATACATGGCTGAGTTTCTTACATTTATTATTAATAAACGTCCGTATAACTTGAAAAATTGTTTGGCTATTAATTTTACTTTGTTACTAATAGACTATTTCATCTAGTTCACTAGAAATTCATGAGTCGAGAAATAGTCATTGATTTTTATGACTAAAGAGCTATTTTTCAGAAATTCTTTCAGTATTTTTATAAATTTTTAATAATTTTATATTCTTTGATAATTTAATATTTTTCTAATAATTTTATAATCATATTTTTGATAATTTAATATATATTTTTTTCAATTATAAATTCAATAGTATTAGTTCATGTAATTTGAAAAGTAAACCTTTGTGCCCAACGTTCTCAAAGGTTTTTTGATATCCAGGAAAACTGCCGCATATATCTGATTCAAATATTTGAATATTAAAAAAAAAAAAATAATTTTTAATAATTTTTAATGTTTTAATAATTTTTTTTAACGATTTTTCAATACATTTGAATAGTTTTTTAATAATTTTTCAATATTTTTTTTTTTAATGTTTTAATAAATTTTAATGTTTTATTTACTATAAATGGCAGACTAGTTTGAAATGTACATCTTTGTGCCAACCGTTGTTAAAGGCTTTTTTAATATCCAGGAAAACTGCAGCAGATTTAATAATAATTTAATGATGATTTTTTAATGTTTTAATAATATTTTAGTAATTTTTCAATAACTTTTTAATAATCTTTTTTTTTTAATAATTTCTTAATAATTTTTTTAATAATTTTTTAATAATTTTTTAATATTTTTTTAATAATTTTGTAATATTTTTTTAATAATTTTTTAATAATTTTTTTAAAAATTTTTTAATATATATTTTTTTAATGTTTTAATAAGTTTTCAATAATTTTTTAATAGTTTTTTTTTTCATATTTTTTTATAGTTTTTAAATAACTTTTTTAATAATTTTTTATATTTTAATAACTTTCTAATAAATTTTTAATAATTTTATAATCTTTGATAATTTAATATATATTTTTTTCAATTATAAATGGCATCAATAGTATTAGTTCATGTAATTTGAAAAGTAAACCTTTGTGCCAAACGTTCTCAAAGGTTTTTTGATATCCAGGAAAACTGCCGCAGATATCTGATTCAAATATTTGAATATTAAAAAAAAAAAAATTTTTAAATTTTTTAATAATTTTTTTTTAACGATTTTTCAATATATTTTAATAGTTTTTTAATAATTTTTTAATATTTTTTTTTAATGTTTTATTAAGTTTTAATGTTTTATTTACTATAAATGGCAGACTAGTTTGAAATGTATATCTTTGTGCCAACCGTTGTTAAAGGCTTTTTTAATATCCAGGAAAACGCAGCAGATTTAATAATAATTTAATGATGATTTTTTAATGTTTTAATAATTTTTTAGTAATTTTTCAATAAATTTTTAATATTTTTTTTTTTTAATAACTTTTTAATAACTTTTTAATAACTTTTTAATAACTTTTTAATAACTTCTTAATAATTTTTTAATATTTTTTTAATCATTTTTTATTAATTTTTTAAAAAAAATTTAATATTTTTTTTAATGTTTTAATAAGTTTTTAATAATGTTTTAAATAATTTTTTAATAGTTTTTTTTTCATAATTTTTTAGTTTTTAAATAACTTTTTTAATAATTTTTTATTTATTATAAATGGCAAACTAGCTTGAAATGTACATCTTTGTGCCAACCGTTGTTAAAGGCTTTTTTAATATCGAGTAAATTGCCGGAGGTTTAATAATAATTTAATAATGATTTCTTAATATTTTAATAATTTTTTAGTACTTTTTCAATAACTTTTTAGTAATCTTTTTTTTTAATAACCTTTTAATAATTTTTTAATAATTTTTTAATATTTTTTTTAGTAATTAATTTTTTAAAAATGTTTTAATATATATTTTTTTAATGTTTTAATAAGTTTTTAATGTTTTAAATAATATTTTAATAGTTTTTTTTCATAATTTTTTATAGCTTTTAAATAACTTTTTTAATAATTTTTTATTTATTATAAATGGTAAACTAGTTTGAAATGTACATCTTTGTGCTAAACGTCGTTAAAGGCTTTTTTAATATCCAAGAAAATGGCAGCAGATTTAATAATAATTTAATAGTGATTTCTTAATGTTTTAATAATTTTTAGTAATTTTTCAATAACTTTTTAATATTTTTTTTAATAACTTTTTAATAATTGTTTAATTTTTAATATTTATTTAATAATTAATTTTTTAATCAATTTTTTTAATAATTTTTTTATTAATTTTTTAAAAATTTTTTAAAAAATTTTTAATGTTTTAATAAGTTTTTAATGATTTTTTTAAAAAATTTTAATGTTTTAATAAGTTTTTAATAATGTTTTAAATAATTTTTTAATAGTTTTTTTTCATAATTTTTTATAGTTTTTAAATAACTTTTTTAATAATTTTTTAATTATTATAAATGGCAAACTAGTTTGAAATGTACATCTTTGTGCCAACCGTTGTTGAAGGCTTTTTTAATATCCAGGAAAACGGCAGCAGATTTAATAATTAATGACTTCTTAATGTTTTAACAATTTTTTAGTAATTTTTCAATAATTTTTTATTTTTTTTTTTTAATAATTTTTATTTTTTCTTTTAATTTTTTTTATTATAAATGGCGAGGATAGAATTAGTTCATGTAGTTTGAAAAGTTGACCTTTTTTGATATCTAGGATATATAGAAAAACTGCCGCAGATTTCAGATTCAAATGTTTGAAAATTTGAATTTTTTCTTTAATAATTTCTTAATAATGTTTTTAATATATATTTTATTAATATTTTATTGTTCTAAATAATTTTTTAATAGCTTTTTTCATATTTTATAATTTTTAATTAAATTTTTTTAATAATTTTTTATTTATTATAAATAGCAGACTAGTTTGAAATTTATATCTTTGTGCCAAACGTTTTTAAAGGCTTTTTTAATATCCAGGAAAACTGCAGCAGATTTAATAATGATTTTTTAATGTTTTAATATTTTTTTTTTAGTAATTTTTCAATAAATTTTTAATAATCTTTTTTAAATAATTTTTTAATAATTTTTTTATTATAAATGGCGTGGATAGAATTAGTTCATGTAGTTTGAAAAGTTGACCTTTTTTGATATCTAGGATATATAGAAAAACGACAGCAGATTTCAGATTCAAATGTTTGAAAATTGGATTTTTTTAATTTCTTATGATTTTTTAATTATTTATTAGGAATTTTTTAATATTTTTTTATTATAAATGGCGGGGATAATGTTAGTTTATGTAGTTTGAAAAGTAAACCTCTGTGCCAGACGTTTTGATATCCAGGAAAACTGCAATTTTTTAATTTTTTTTTCAATAAATTTTTAATAATTTTTCAAAAACTTTTTAATAATTTTTCAAAAACTTTTTAATAATATTTACTCATTTTTTAATATTTTTTTTTAGTTTTAATAACTTTTCAATATTTTTTTTAATAACTTTTTAATAATTTTTCATTTATTTTCATGTATTTGTATGTATGTATGTTGTCGCGCAGAGACGGCTCTGTCTTTAATAATTTTATTTTTAAAATGATTACGAAGATCCATGCTATATTCCAGAAGGCAGTTCAGATTATGAATCTGAGGATTCTAATGACATACAGCGTGGGGCGGCTAATATAAAAGACTCTACCGAGTCACAGCCATCGTGTTCCTATTCCACTAAACCACCTGCCAAACGTTCTAGATTGGCAGAAATCATCCAAGGAATTCTGTACCATCAGCCAAAAATCGCAGGTAATGAATCTAGCCCAATTAGTCCTAGTCCAAGTAATCAGTCTAGCCCAAGAAATCAGTCTATTGTAAATAGTGCGCCTGCGCCGGTTTGTCAGCCGATTAGTCTAACCAATACACCCGTAAGCTTTACTTCTGGAGTAAGTCCCGAATGGGACGTTGCGTTACAAGGACAACAACCGATCGAATATTTTTTAGCATTCGTGGATTTTGATATAATCGACATCATCGTTGATCAAACGAATCACTACGCCACACAGAGTGTAGTTGAGGGGGATAATATTGGCAATCATTCTCGTTGCCAACAGTGGCAGCCAACAAATAGGGGAGAGATAATACGACTAATTGGATTATTAGGATATATGGGCATTGTGAGAATGAATTCAATAAGAGACTATTGGTCAAAAAAATCTCTCTTTTCTAATGATGTGGCTAGAAAGGTTATGAGTCGCAATCGATTCGAACGTCTTTTAAAAATGCTGCATTTCTCGGTCAATACTTTATGTCCTCAAGGTGATCGCTTGTTCAAAATTCAGCCAATTTTGGATAAATTCATTTGCAATTATCAAAAAATATTCACACCGGCAAAATATTTTTGTATTGACGAAACCATGATGCCTTATCAAGGTAGGCTTCTGTTTAGGCAGTATAACCCCCAAAAAGCACACAAATACGGTATAAAGATTTTAAGCTATGTAGCGATAAAGGATATACTTGGAACATGAGTATTTATGCAGGAAAGGAGAAAAAGACTGCTGAAAACCCAGAGA